TTTTCCAACCTGTCGGAGCAGCTGCTTCTTGAGGGTATCAGTCGGGAGCTCCGTCCCCCTAAGAAGACGCCTGATCGCCGCACGTGTCAGGGCACAGCCACAGCTGGCCAGGGGGTTTGTGGGATTAGGACGTAGCCGCTTTTGAGAGCGAGGGAGGTCGTCCCCGCTATCCTCGTCGCTGTCGTCGTCCTCGTCGTCCTCGTCGCCGTCGCTGCTATCCCCCTCGCTGTCGTCGTCCTCGTCGTTCTTGTGCTGCTCGCTATCAGATGGCAGAGAAGGGGTTGATGATAAAGACGACAGCGGTGACGATACCGGTGATGGTATATCGTCACGGGGTCTCTTCAGTGGGGATCTGGGTATGTTTGCGGCGTTTATACCCCCCCTAGCCTGCACTGGCGGCACAGGTATCGCCGGCTGCATTAGGCAACCTGAGCTAATAGAACAGACAAATCCATCCATGTCTATTCCAAGCCCTAGCGTATGTAGTGTTTGGGGGTTAAGGGGTGCCAAATTCCGCTGTGCCAGCGCAACATCGAGATCAATTTGCATGATTCGAGCATACTGGCGAATGCCACGACCACGTCTAGACTTCCGGTGTACGATAGCGTTGTTGATGGCAGCTTGGAGGTCAGGGTAGGATAGTCCTTCACTAATAGACTTGCTGACCTTCCGTAGCATTGCGTAGCTACCTATACGCCCGAGAAGAGCATTGGCCTGCGGCTCCCCCCACTGGAGAATCGCTCGCTTGCGCACGTTTGCCTTGAACCGATCGAGTCCTTCTTGAACCTTTACTGCATCCCGTGTGACCTGCCACGAGTCTCGGAATGATTCTAGGCTTTCTTCGTGCATCCTCCAGAACTCCCCTTGTTCGACAAAGTCATGTACCTCCTGTAACGATCTCACAGCGTCCCCCATGACTCCGTGGGCGTGATCCTGGATTATCAGCGCAGCCGGGTAAACGTCCTTGGGCGATAGGCTTTTGATTAGAGCGAGGCCTTCCTGAATCGACCGCACATACTGACCGTTAAGGTTTAGCGTAGCGGCGAAGGTGAAGGATTGATCAATCGCCTCGTATACGCTGGGCTCACTGCTGG